TTCCTTTAATATAACATAACTTGCATCAGCATAATAGATATTTATTTGAAATTCTTATACAATGTGAGTCTGTCACTATTACAGTGATAGATTTGGCCTTTGTACAAGTGAGTCATATAGCAAGATACAAAAAAACTTAGACTTTCCCATGGTGTACCTTATCCAATGATTCTCCCGAAGAATGTAAGGAACCTAAAATTCATGTAAAATTAAATACCTTTTCTTCGACAGTTTCTCTCAGTTATTTTAACAGATGCACAAATAAGAAAGTATCTACACTACAATTTAGAATGTAAGGTTGGATATAATTGCAACATTAAAATTGGTGAAATGAAAAATTTATAAAAATTGATAGAATGAGACGAATTCGTTCGAATAATTTATTTTTACTTGAAACTCGCGAAAAAAGGCAGACAGTTTATCGAATAATCGATAAAAAGAATGACAAAGAAGCGCCGAAAATTGAAAAATAAAAAAAGAAAAAACGAAAGGGATATTGTACATGCAGCACTAAAGCGTAAATGAAAATCGATGATTATAAGCTCGTTAACCTGGCACATCATCTATTTGGAGTTACCCCCTTCCATGGTACTCCAAAATTGTCTCACTTTTGAGAAACGTTTGCGTCCTTGCATGCACAAAAACAGGACAGACAGTGGTAATAACAAAAATATACAGAAACCCTCGCGCGAGAACGGTAGAAAAGGAGCAAGCAAGCAAGCAAGCAAGCAAGCAAGCAAGCAAGCAAGCAAGCAAGCAAGCAAGCAAGCAAGCAAGCAAACAGGCAGGCAAGCAGGCAGGCAGGCAGGTAGGTATCCAGACAGCACTAATGTCCAAAATCGGGTCTTTTAGACGTCTTGAAGTTGTATTTAAGATGTCGTGATATAAGATGTCTTTAAAATATTTTAAAATGTCTTATGTCCCGATTTTGGATATTGTGTTGTCTAGATAGATAGGCAAACAGGTAGGCAAAACCTCCAACCAATGTACCACTACAAAAGTCGGTGATGATGCACACGAATATATGCCATCTCTCACAACGTTTTCACAAACCTTTGTGATTGCGTGCACGCTGCTCCCGCTGATGATGGAAACCAGGACCGCGCAGGAGCGGTAGCGAGTCTTCTGTCCATGCCGCTGTTCTGATCGGTGGAGGTACTATCGAGCCGGGTGGAGGAAAGAGCGGGATATGATCGCCACCGAACGGCGGCGGCGGTGGCGATCTGTGACGATTGAACGGCGGAAGTAAATGCGGAGACAACGGGGGCGGCGGAGAACTCGCAGAGTTCTCGTACCTACCCCCGGGGGGATGTAACGGCGGCGGCATCGGCGGGGGTGACGATAACCTGCCGCCCAGGGGTGGAGGACGTTGACTGAGACTGTCATACTGGGAGGTGCGTACGAAACCAGAAGCCATAGGTAGCGGCAGATGCGCCGGGAAACAGTGCAGATAGGAAGGTGGCGGCGGTGGTGGGGCGGCTGAGCTAAACATTACGGGAGAACCGGAGGATTCCGCTCCTATGAACAGTGGTGGCGAAGTAGCTGTTTCCCCGTTCGTCTCCAGGCCTGTTTGAAAATCAGTTTGAGAGAAAATAGAGAATCTGAAGAGAATCCGAAGAGATCGTCCGATGCATTAAGTCTGATCTACGATGTCCTTTGTTTCTTGTTTCTTGCTCTATATCTCTTTTCCATAAGTTCCGGCCTACTAAACCTTAAGAAATTGACCAATCACAATCGAATTATAAAAGAAAGATCAATTATGATTGGTCAATTTCTTAAATCTTACGCCTTAAATTTTCATTGTAGACCCTGCTTAAGTAAATAGAAATTCTTACAGAAGAAAAATAGAAAGCAAGAAACGAGACGTAAAGAGCACATTGTAGACCAAGTTTAAGTATCTCACGCGAAATATGCGTCGTATCCGCTGTCCACGGATAAGTGATCGAATTGAACGATTTTTCAGAAGCGCTGATTATAAATTATATTAATAATTATAAATTAGCACTAATTATATAATTAGCTATTATCATAGCTAGATTGCAACACAGAGTACATATAACTACGCTGTCTTACTCTACGGATTGCAACATCACTATGCATTACAGTAAGTTTCTACAAGACTCTATGATAAGTTTTATATACTCGCTTACGAAATCGTTGTGTACATGAGTAGTACACACATCTCTGTAGAAAGAGTGAACGAGATTATTAATGTGACATGAGCGTGATAAGCTCCGATTGAAGTTAAGAATCTTTCTCAGATGTTATTTATCGAACTCTGTTCACTAAATAATAAACAAGATGTTCTTTAAATATCCAGTCATACTCAAAGGGAACGATTCTTTGGTTTATTTCAAGTAAGAAAGTTCATATAAACATGCTCCCTAAACGGTTTAGTTTTAGAAACATAGGATGTTCAAGTTTTCAGGGAAATGTAAATGTATCACATAAACTTTAGGATATTTTTTTGAAATTTGGTTTAAACTGATAACACATCAGAAGTGATATTTCGAAAATACTATAGCCAAAAAATCAAAAATTAAAAATGAAATAATTAGGGCTCCTGTATATTTGTCTGTCCTTTGATAACATTAGAAGCGAGGAAAATCATGTCAATTTATAAGTGACAGTATATGTGGAGATAAAAGAATAAGCATATTTATAAAAACGTCCTTTAAACTGAACAATTAATAAATAGAATAATAAATAAATAAAAATCATAAGAAAAGACAAAAGGTTAAAAACGTAAGGTGCATGTTACACTGTATGTTGCATGTTACACTCAGATATATTGAATCGATCACGAGTGTTATTTTGCGCGTATATTCTTTTATTTTCGCATATACCTTCACATAAATTCTCATGATTTTCCTCGCTTCCGAGTCATTGAAGAAGGTCAGCCAAAGTGAGTATCCAGGAGCCTTAAATGAATTGTTGAAAATGATCATCATGACCTTCTGCTATGATATATTCTTCGATCTTTCTTCTCAAAGATTGACTACACGCTCAAAGATACCAAGTGTGTTGAAGAAGTGAAGCCTGTTTTTGTATTTTCCTCTCCTGCTGTTTTTTTGTTTTTGTGACTGGTACTTCAAATAGATTTTTACCACACGTTTAAATTTTTTTAAAACACTCTATATTTCTGAACTTAAGCCGTTTAGAACACATGTTTATATGAGCTTTTTTATTTGAAATAAACCAAAGAATCGCTTCCTTGTGTACGATTGTGTTCTTAAAGAATACCTTGTAGATCGACAGTATTTTGTAGTAGAAATACTTACGATGTAGCTTTGTCTCTGAATCGCTATCGTTGAAGTTTTTCTCTGCGAGTGTGAGTCGGTTACGTAACTGACCGGCTTCGGCTCTCATCTCCTCCATACGACGCTCATTTTGACGAGCGATGACCTTATAAAATAAAAAGCCTCCCGTGAGCTCCTCTAACTTGTACAAATGAAATATGAATAATAGAACAATTGTCTATAACATATACCCATTGCTCGTGTGATTTCGTTTCCAGGGTAGATATTTGATTTTTGTATTCTCTCTCCTGATCCACTATCTCCCGTTTTAACATTTCTATTTGTTGCCTGAAAAGTACAATCGTATGACGGACGAATTATATTTTCTTATAATCACGTAAAGAGGTCAATAATATTTAACTAGTTTTAAACAACAGTGTATATAAGTGAAACGAATTTCTACAAATTCAATTTTTCCTATATACATTAGTCAAATTGTCAGAGAATTGCGTATCTTACTTATAATTTTGTATTTCATTTTGCATCGTGTGTATCCTTTCTACCGTCGACACAACTTCGCCTTGTTTCTGCAACCAAATGGCTTCTTCCCTGCAATCATTATGATATTAACGTAAGCGCCGGAGTATGACAAAATTCCTGTGAAAATTAGTCGTCACTTACTTCTGACGTTCAGCTTCTTTCTCTTTGAAGAATTTCGACAATACCTCCAGTCGTGTCTCTGCATCTTTCTTCTCTTTTTCGGCTAGTTTACACTGTTCGCTTAATTCGACTATCTCTTCTTTAACTAGCTTCATATGTTCTATGATACAAAAATGTTACATAAAAGATGTTATATAGAAAATGTTACATTAGAAGTTAATTAAAGAAGAAAATATATACAGACGATGTTGAGAATGTTATTTCCAAAAAAGTACCTTCTAATAACTGATGAGCACCCTCGACATCGTTCAATCGCATCTTCAATTCATCTCTCTCCTCGCGCAGTTGCACCGCTTCCGTTTTAACACGAGAGACGTCGTATAGCTTTTCCACGTCGAAATTATTCGAATTAACTTGACTCATAACTTCTATAAGCTCTTTCACCTCTATTTCTTTACCTCGCAATTCTTGATATAACGACGACTTCTCGGTAGATAGCTAAAAAGAGAGATGTATCTCAATAACCACATTATATTGAGAAATGATTATTAATTGTCAAACATATTTTGTCATAAATAATCTTATCTATATTATCTTATAAAAAATAATCATATCTGTATCATATTTCATCACGTAATTGCAGACTTACTTCGTTTACTTGCACTTCCAAGGAACATACTTTATCAGTCAGCGTTTTCTCTATATTATTCTTCAAATTTCTCTGAGTGTCTAGCTCGTCTTGCAAGCGCGACAGTTTTCTTTCAAATTCTTCGCATTTCTTTTTGGCAGCGGCAAGATCCGTCGATAAAGTTTCAATCTGTAAGTGACACGTGAAACTGTTTTATTTAATTTTGTACAAACTTTTCTACCACAAATTAATCAACCGAGTAATATGAGATAAAATAATATGAAACCGAACATACTAACTACAGGTAATATATATTTTCAAGAGATTGTGTTATATTTGCATGTAAAACAAATATTAACAAACCTCAAGCTTATCGAATTCATGCTGCATCACAGAAAATAATAAAAATGAATACTTTCCTATTTCGAAGATCAAAACATGATATAAATCAATCTGTGGATGATGTGCAAATTCAGTGGATTATTCTCACCTCTTGAGACTTGAGGTTTAATGCATTCGTTAAGGATTCGTTCGCGGCTTGTTGAGCGTCTAATCGTGCTTGCAAATCTTCCACTGACTGAGCTAAGGGATTAACCTCATTGTTTGATGACAGAACTTCCCTTAACATACGTTCCAATTCCAATCCGGCTTCAGTCGCACTTTCTAAATCTTTTTCCAGCATAGTCACTTGATCCTCCAATTCTGTCTTCACAATCTACAACAAAAAATACAGGATATACAACTTCTAGTTTACATAGTTTACATAGATGTATGATAAAGAAAGAAAAAATATGTGTACATGTACCTGTGATGCTTCTAAATCAGCTTTTAACGATACAACCATTTCGTTAGAACCAAACGATTCATCTTCTATGCAATGTAACTAAAATATTTACATTTTAGTACGATGTAACACACATTCAAATAACACATTGAGTAACAAAAAAAGTAACGGAGAAATTAATTTGCTAATATTGCTCACTTTTTCCTTGGTAGATTTTAGGTTTTCACTGAGCACTTCGCACTCTTTCGTTGAGATCAATAGCTCTTTTTCGAGTTTATTAATTTTCGCTATAAGTTGGCCATCTCTTCTTATATTCTAAACAGAAATATATATCTTAAATTCTATTCAGAATGTGCTATTTAAACAATTAAATCACATAATTATACATAGGATAACGGTATATACGCCGCACTTAAGGAAAATACTTAATTTATCAAGTATTATTTATTATGTTTATTATGTTAAAAGACGAATGAATTATACAAGTAAAAACTATATATTGTCTACTACTATAACAAAATTGGAAATATGAAATATTTATTTTTTATATTTAATAGAAAGACTTTTAGAAACCTAAAAGACTTTTAGAAATCTATTTTTGTTACATATTCCATAGGGGTGGAATATACGGTTTATAAAAAATTACAAATAATATTTATAAATAAAACGTAAAATGTTACAGTAATTTATGAAATGTGTGTAAAAAGTTTATTAAGACATAAGACTGAGATAAACACATGAAAAGTAATAATAAAAGTAATTTATAAATTTTAACATAAATAAAAATTCTGTCTTACAAATGTTAATGCAATAACATTTGCAATATTTATTATTACTTTTCATGTGTTT